TCCATGCAACCTGCCCAACTGCTAATTTGACAAATTTCCCTGTGCAGCCAGTTCAAAATTAGCTAACTTTAAGGGTTTACTGAATGCAAGACAACACACCAACGTTCTCTTGTTTATTCCTCACAACAACCCTAAGGATTAATATAATTAATGTCAGTTTGCAGTTGAGGAAATTAAAGGCACAGAAGAGTTAATGTGTCTAACATTCTGTTAGGAAGCATTAGCAGAGAAATCAGAACTCTTGGGCTGTCTTCTTCCACCATTCATCAATAAAAGTAAGAAATTCTTGTCTTACTGACAAAATGGTATGCCCCAACTTATGCCATAGACAGGTGACTTTAAAGAAAATTTATTAATTTCCCCTGTCATCCCCAAGCAGGAAAGACTTGTTATCTTTTGGTCGATTTATGACTCCTGTCCAATTCAGGTAGGGATAGCCACAATTTCATTAAACTTATAAACTGAATAAGAAAAGCCATAATTTCCAGAACCTGGGCAGTATTTTTTGTTGGAGTGTGGCTCCCAATGCAAAGTTCCTGCACCTCAATGAAAATCAGAGTTTCTTTCACTTTCTATGGGAGAGGACAAAGTGGCTGGGAATGGGTGTTAGATTGACCATGCAGGGGCATCTATAGTATCTGGAGTTATGTTTTGATGTAATTGAACATTCCAAATCATGGCTGAATTAAGAACAACATTGTTGAAGACAGGGATGGGGGATGACCAAAACCTTCCTTATATTCAAGAAGTAAATTCCTATCTGAAATAGAAGGCAAAGTCACCTGCTGTGAGAGCAGGGAGCTGGGTGAGATAAGCCTGAGGAGCATGAGGACCTTCTAAATTAACAAGGAAGATGCAGAGAGAACTGATATAGGGTTTCTGATGGTTTAGTTGAATCAGAGATAAGTTTACAGGGGTATTGATCCACAGAAGTGTGTGATTTTCTCAACCAGTACTCAGATGCATGTGGAAACTTGGGACAGTGTGGAAGAACAAGCAGACTCCAAGGACTGCAGAAGCATGGAGCCAGAGAAAGCTGTCTTTAATAACAAAAGGAAGTGTGGGAGTTCCATAAAGAGGCTGATAGGGATGACTATATGACATTTTGGAAGGCACCATGAGAAAGCAGTATCAGTACATGTGATACTACCAAGGTAATGTACCTGGGTCTCTGACCTTTGGGAGTAACAACCTGAGCCTATTTACTTCGCTATAATATAGGGACAATTCTTCCAATGAGTTAGTGAGGATGAATACACCTTAACTATAAAGCAATTTGGTGATAGCTGGACAAGAATTTGGGCAATGTCACGCTGACTTGGGTTACTAACAGATCGTTACAACTTTATGAGCATAAAGATTTTAGGATGCCTATTTATTTTGTTCTATGAATATGTGAAATTTGAATGAGGGAGGTAAAAAAAAAGTAAGAGCAGTCAGGGGTTATCAAATTCCTAGAGTTGTCAGGGCCACTTGAGAACAGAAAGCTAGGAACGACAGTTAGGTAATTACTAACCTTGGAAGCAGTAATTTTCCAATATGCGACTTTGAGGGAATTTGATGAAGATAATAGTGTTTCAATGCTTACCAGTTAAGAGTTTTCACAGATGCCACTCAGTGAATGCTTATAGCAAGGCTTATGAAGTAGAGATTATTCCTATTCTCCAGATGGCAAAAGAACGCAGTTGTACAAAGCTCTAAACCAGAGGCCAAGAACTTTCCTGTGAAGCACAAGTCAGTATTTTGGGCTTTGTAGGCTATTCGGTCTCTCTTGCAACTACTCAACTCTGATATTGCAGCACAAAACCAGCCCTAGATAAGACAAGTGAATATAGTGGCCATGTGCCAATAGTTTTATTTACAAAAAGCTTCGGGACTGCTTACTAACCCCCACTCTGAACACAATTTTTCCATTCCCAAAACCCAGCATTCTTCATTACAACACAAATAAAATTAATTAGTCCAATGGTTGTTCTGCAGAGGATGCTGTTCAAGCTATACACACATATTTAATGGCATCAATGTGGAACACAGGCACAATTCTAATGAATAAAAAAGCAAACTGGAAGCAGCTCATTAATATTTCTGGTAAAATGGAGTTAGACTAAGACCAAACTATGGTCAGAGTAGCTTGGTTGTGGTTTCAGCTGTCACTCATGTATTTTTTCCCCAGTGTAGACAATATTTACTGGCAGATGTTGAGTAACAGAAAAATGGTAACAAACCCAGAGGGGCTGGAAAAGGAGGCAGGGTGTTCTCCCCTCCCATAATTAGGACTGTAATCAGGTCAGTGGAGCAAGAGCATGTGATTTTGGCAACTCTGGGCCCAGCAACCCTCAAAGCTCCCAGGCAGGATGATTTCAGTATGTGGAAAGAAAGCAACACTCTGGAAATGGCATGGGCTGGGTCCCAGTCCAGATACTTGCCCCTGCCCACAGCACACCTTAAAGACCTTCACAGAACTGGGCCAAGCCTACCCCTCTCCAAACACAGGTATCTGCCATATGCCTGTTACCTGCCTCTCAGTGATCTGCAAGGTTGGACTACTAGGTCCTGCTAGGGGCCCAGCTCAACCAAGTGAGTAGTTTCCATAGTTCCCTGAGCCTAGTTAAGGTTAATCTCACCTCTCATCTGTTCAGTTGGAATCAAAGAATCTCTGAGATCTCTTCCAGTTCCAATACTGAGACCTCTAATATGACTAAAATAGCCAACTGAACCAAAGCATGAGAAGTCAATCTCTTGCTATTTTTAAAAACTGTCAATGATGTATCACTTACTACACACTGGCCTTATCATTATGTATGTGTGGAAAGATATGCTACATAACAAGACTACTAGTTAAGTTCCTAAAAACCTGGACATGTTTACCCTTTGAGAAATAGAATGCACCTGTTTAGCTTTCTGAAATGAACCAAGAAAGCCTGGATTTCTGGAAACCAGAGTTTCCAAATAACTCAATCTCCAAATAAGATAACCTGGAATCCAAGTGGTATTAAACAAGTGGAAATCTGATTTTTTGTATTATGCTTCAGAGTATGTGAACACTGTGACAATGGTCTGGGGCCAAAGAAGCAGATCAGTGTGTACTTCTGCACTGCAAAGTGTTAGTTGCTCAGTCGGGTCTGACTCTCTGAGACCCCATGGACTGTCAGGCTCCTCTGTTCATGGAATTCTTCAGGCAAAAATACGGCAATGCACTACCTGGAGAAGGCAATTCCTTCTCCAGGGGATCTTCCCACCCAGGGATTGAATCCGGGTCTCCTGTGTTGCAGGCAGATGCTTTACCATCTGAGCCACCAGGGAAGCCCTGAATTAACTGTAGGAACTTATAATTACTAGAGGCACATATTGAGTATAACTGGCCTAGAACTCAACAATTCTCTGCCAACACAGGCCTTAGCTGACTTAGGAAGCGCAGAAATCAGTCAATTTCCTGGTCTCCATGTGTTCCCACACTGGTGCAGAACTCTCTTAGAAGCTAACTGCTTCACTGACCTGGATACCACCTGAATTATGACAGGCATCTGCTTCCCCAAATTGTTTCTGCCCGTGTTTTCAGACTAACTTTTTTGCTTTTTCACATTTCTCCAATGACTGAAAATAAGATTCACAAGTTACACAGTGCTCTATCAGGCCTTACAGACATAATAAACATCCCCATCACTTTTACAAGGCCTACTCCCAGTTCCCTTACTGTCATACAGAAATGGCTCTCACCACTGGTACAGACTTATTTCCCCCACTGAGAATTTCTCTCAGTATTCTTTATGGCTTAGTTCAAGTTCACCCTTCCACAAAATTTCTAGGGACTACACTAACCATGTATGGCACAACTGTATGAATAATTTAGCACATAAACTATAACCATACACTGTACATACCATAACACTATGACCAGAAAGTCTTCTTTCTACAACTGGCACAAATGCAGTGCTCATTCTGGCCAGAGAAACTGAGTGGATGACTGAGGTATTGTTCTAGGCCAGGCTGTCCTAGAAGACCAAGTAAACACAATCTACTACTATGACTAGTAATAATGCTGCCTGTTTGGGCTACTGTATTTTTCAACCATTTTGGTATGCCATTAAATCAAGTTAGAAAAATCATGATCTGTGACTTCGTTTTTTAATTCTTAAGCCTTATGATCAGACAGTTTACAAATCTGAGCTAATGATACAGCCCCTCTAATCCTTCTAATGAGTTGGCAAAAGCACGATTACCAAACACCATATACAAGTAGTTCTACAGTTGTGTTTCTGAATTCCTGTTTAAAAGACAACCCTGAATTATAACTTAGTCTGACTTTGTGAAGAATTAACAAGCAAAGTTCGTTAACATATCTTGTCACAGTGAATTTTAAAAGCATCTGATCTTAAAGATCATCTACAAAATGTGAGGTGCTAAATACTCTTTATTTGATGCTATACATAAACCACACTAAAATGCCTTTCATTAAGTAAAAGGCTAAATTTTAGATAGAGAATTTTAATTAAATTGGCATAGTTTATAAAACCAAAAAGATAAAGTGGAATTTGTCAGTGTATTTTCAATCCTTGCCTTAACAGGCTAATGAACACAACTTCAAACACATGTGAATCCTCCTCTGTTCTATGAGACAGTGAAGGGACCTTTTTCAGTATTTAAATATATTAATATAACCAGTTATAGAAATCTAAATATAAAACCAATCTCTTATAGGGTTTGAGAAGGAATGCACCATCTCCCTAAAAAGTTTAATATTCCTTATTCAAGTTCAATCATCTCTTTAGAATGGGAAAAGTGATAGTACTTGTTGAACCGGAATTACTATCAAAATTAAAAAAGCTGACCATATTCGTTTAGCCACAAACCAATCTTATTTAAATCAGGACTGTCCAACAGAATTATTCCATCAGCCATTCATGATCTGAATTCTAGTGTATGAGATCAATTTAAATATGGTACACATAAAAAGTCATGAGACACTTCTGTTTCATAATAAATAAGGCAGTGGCCAACTATTACTCATTGGTAGCTTTTTTGAGATAAGCTATCAAGTCCTCCCTCTCTCCCTTCTTCTTAATGCCAGCAAAGATCATCTTTGTTCCAGGGATGTACTTCTTGGGATTCTCCAAGTACTCCATCAGCGTCTCCTCTCCCCAGGTGATACCTAAACAAGGAAGGATATATTGTTGAGCATGTCACACTCCTGAAACAGTGTCTACCATAGGTTACATTCATACAGTTTGTGCTTGGGTTAGTTAACAATGCCCCCTCTTACCTTTGTTCTTGTTGGCATCTGTGTAAGAGAATCCAGCAGCCTGACCCGTCTTTCGGCCAAACAGACCGTGGAGGTTTGGCCCAGTCTTGTGCTTGCCTCCCTTTTCCACAGTATGGCACTGGGCACACTTCTGAACAAAAATCTTCTTGCCCTTCTCAACATCACCCATTTTTAAATCTAAAAACGAAAGATTCAGATTAGTAATATTTTCTCCAAGTAAAAGTACAGTAGATTCCTATCATCAACCCCAGTCACTTCCACCAACTTAAATAACAGGTTGAATTTTGTCTTACTTAGTTCACTTGCAACAGCTTCTTTAATAACAAAAACACTATCTGGAAGAACTTCCTTGAAAAAGGAAGATATTCACACCTCTGTGAATATCTCTGCATGCTCAGTCACTAAGTTGTGTCTGATTCTTCATGACCCCCAGGCTCCTCTGGTCATGGGATATTCCAGGCAAGAATACTAGAGTGGGCTGTCATTTCCTCCTCCAGGGGACCTTTCTGACCCAGGGATTGAACCCACGTCTCTGGTGTCTCCTGCACTGGCAGACGAATCCTTTACCACTGAACCACCTGGGAAGCCCTTCTGTGTGTATAAGTGCCAACTAAAACTTGGCATTTGCCATCAGCCTATACAAGGATTAGGCTACAGTCACTGACCTTCAACACATTCTGAAAGGATTTCAGGGTGGAGCAGGAATGAGGCACTCTGGGCTCTGAGTAAACTGGCAAAACTAGCTTTCAGATAGATCTTTTCAGGTGAAGATTTTATGAGCCCAATTCTTCCATCTCCTTATTATCTAGAAAAGCACTAAAATTCTTAACGGTGGTATCTGTTCCTGCTGATTAGCAGCAAACCTCTGGTATATGTGTTTGACTGCATAGTACCCCCATTCATGAAAATCATATACAATACTGACATTCTCCCCCTACCTCCTCAGAGCAGTTTCTCGTCTTCTAGGACATACTCATCGTTTTACCCCAAAGAAAACTTAACTCACAACCCTCAAGTTGTGCATTGTTTTTTCCAGTTGACATAAGTGATGAAAGGTTAGAGGTCAGGAAAGCAAAGCGGGAACCTAGTTCAAAGCCATTTCAAAAGATGAGACCAAGGTCACGAAAAGTCATAAATCCAATTAAGCTGAACGGAGATCATATTAAATCCAAGCCATCAAATTCCAACTTTTAAGGCCTCATCATTTATTCATACAATTTAAAGTCACCGCTCTCTTTAGAGAAAACAAAATACATTTTTACAAAAAGGGAAATCTTTCTTGATTCAGTCCGCTCAGGTTACTCGAAATTGCTTTGCTGTGGGTAGGAGGTCAGCAGCCGGCTTTACGGTCACCCAGGGACCCCCATCATCTAGCTCTCGGATCCCCGGAAGTGACCACGAGGTCATCCATCCAGGCTTGTTTCAAGGAGACTGTGATGAAACCTACCCCCTCGGACGTTCCTCAGCAGGTTAAGGAGGGAAGCGACAGGTGGCTAAGAAATGCCTTATTGGAGGAGCAGTCGTTTCTGCTCCTTTGGAAGGAGGACGTGAAGCGCTGCGCTCCGTCCCCGCACTCCTGCCCTCACCTCGGAGTTAGTCTTATCTACCATTGCTCCAGCTCAGCAGTCCCTATAACGGAGAACCGGGGTCTCGGTAAGAATCGCGACCAAGCCGCCTCCGAGCTTTCAGAACCTTGACCTACCCTACCACCTAGTTGGGGTCTTAAGCCGTAGCCCACCCGGCTCTGGCCGGGCGCAGTCTAGCTGGGCGCCACTCCCTGCCAGCTCCCTCGCCCCCGCGCGCGGGACTCAGTCCACCCGCGCGGCCCCCATGCTGGCGCACGCATTCGTGGCTCAGCTTCCCGCCTGCTGCAGCTTCCCGCCTGCTGCGGCCTCCGCGCCCCGCGCTCACCGTTCTTTCTCTCTGCGCGACCGAGAAGTTCCCGCTCACAAGCCGAACGCCCCGCTTTCTAAGCCCAAGGACACGCCGGTACGTGCCTAAGTACCGGTGTTGGTGCAACCAAACTGGCTCCGCCCTCCGGTCGCCTGACGTCCGTCCCGGCGACCGGATACTCAGTGACGAAGCCGCGCCTCATTGGCTCGGGTCTCCAGGCCTGAGGCCGGACTGGGCGCGCGCATGCCGACTAGCACGCTTGGGGGTACCGCGTTGAGTGCCCTTCCTCTCCGGGCCTTTCCTTCCTGGCAATTACGACAGGCCATTAGCGGTACGACACCGAGGTTGTGCCGGAAGGGGCTGACAGCAGTCCTGGCCTTCGTGTGCTTGCGTGTGCCGTTGGGGAGGGTGGAGCGGAGTCGAACGGTGGATCGATAGCGTTATCTTCTTGTAAGGTAACCAGTCTCGTGCTGGTTGACGTAATGCTCTTTGAGCAGCATGTTTTGTCTGCTCGGAGGGAAACGATCGACTTGGACACACTAGAGGTCTCTTGGCTGTCATCCCTTCAGCTGGAGACCTTTACCCAGACTCGGTCGTATTTCCGCCGCTGGCGCCAGCTGCACCCAACAGAAATAGCCCGCAACCAGGAAGAGTTGGACACGAGCTCCTGACCTTGTTCTTGTTTCGCCTATCCGCTGTAATTTTAAGTTATCTTCTTCCAAATCGTCCCTGATGGAGCCCTGAAAACTAGGGCAGCTGCTGCAGTTGAGGCAGAGACTGGATTATAGTTCGGGCCCCTCACCTGCTGGCTTCTTTTTTACCACTTGCTTTTCTACACGTGCTTCTCGCGTTTGTGTGCAAAAAGAGCAAGGGGTGTGTGCGACCAGCATCCAGAAAGAAACATTTTTACATGGCTAGGGAATCTTTGGAACTCTACAGAGGATTTGCATTCCATCTAATCTAGGTGAAGCTCATGTTCAAGCAAGCTAATGTGGTTGGAGTCGTTAGAATGCAAGGGACTTCTGGCGGTCCAGAAGTTAAGACTTGGCGCTTCCAACGCCGGGAATGCGGTTGGATCCCTGTTGGGAGGACTAAAATCCTACATGCCTGCACGGCATGGCCAAAACCAACCAAACAAAAAAACAGGTTTGATCCCTGCAGCTTCCAGTAATCATGCTTTTCCTCCACCACACGCTCTCATTCAAGACATGCCCAGTTTTGTCACTGGGAAATTTTCTGTACTCCTTCAAATTCAGCCCCCGAGTTTGAATTTTTCCTCCTTTCCCATATCCTGTCAGACGGTGCTGTATTCATTCAGTCAAGTGTTTATTGAATACATGCTGTTTGCCAGGCACCGTCTAGGACGGTGGAGTAAATCAGTGAGGACTTTTTCTCTGGCGGAGCTAATGTTCTAGCATCCTTCCTCCTCCCTCCAGTTAAGCAATAGATTGTTGTTTAGTTGCTCAGGTGTGTGGGACTCTTTTGGGGCCACATGGACTGTTGCCTGCCAGACATCTCTGTCCATGGGATTTCTCAGACAAGATTACTGGAGTGGGTTGCCATTTCCTCCTCCAGGGGATCTTCCCCACCCATCCATTGAACCCCTCCTTCTTGGCAGCAGATTCTGTACCACTGAGCTATCTGGGAAGCCCCAAGCAATAGTTAGTAGTAGGTTAACCTAGATTACCTCAGAACCCTCTTAAACCACTGGTCCTATGATTTCTCCTCCAGATCATCTGTCTCCTTATACGAATAGATTGTTGTTTTCTGTGTTCTGATTTCCCACTTTCCTGTCTCTAATCTCACACACTGCTGCCACAGAAATGTGCTGTAAAACAGAGAAGAAATCACAACACTTGAATATTCAAGATCTTTTGTGGCTTTTGGGGTGGACCAAGATAGTGTTTTAATTGTAATACTGAAGTTGGCTCATTTGACTAGCTACCCAAGTTTTTGAAAAACCGGGCTCAGTTAACACCTTGTAATTCAGTCCCTACGTTTGAAGCCAAGTCCTAAGTTGCCACCCATATCTCTTCAAGGAATACTTGGGCCTTAAATAGGTATTTGTTCTAATTAAAATCTTCTGTGTTTGTGGTATCAGAAGTTACTAGTCTTACTGAACAAAGTAGCAACATTGTGCTGGTACTGCAGGCCCTGCAGAATTAGCAATACATTAAGTGGCCTAGTGAATTGATTGACATTTCAAATTTATTTCCATGAGGGGGGAATAGAAAATCAGAAGTCTTTAACACCTTTACCTAAGGAAATTGGGGATAAAGACTGTTGTAATTGAAAGTAGTAGGAAAATGAGAACGCGAACAAGAGCAAAAATGAACACTTGGCACATTCCTGTAGTAGATACTATAACATTTGTGCTTAATATCCATGTATTCAGGTTCTAAAGAGTTTCACGGTGCTTACCATGTATTCAAGATACCAGAGAGAATTAGTTGAGAACATTACTATTGTACAAGTTGCCCAGTTCCATATTTGTATATCTGTTCTATCTCCATCTTTTCCTATTGTAGTGGCTGGTAAGGGGTGTAACTATTACAAAACAAGTGCCTTAGGTTTCTCCTTCCAGCAGCACAATGGGTGGTATATATATTTTTTAATGTTCATGATAAGAAAAAAATATAGTAAAATACCACCCCCTCAAACCAAAACATCTAATGAGGTTGCAAGAAAATGAGGGAAAAGAAGTCTAGTTGGAGGCAGGGGTGAGGCAGGCAGCAAGAACTGAAAACTGTGATAAGCATAAGTTGACTGTAGAGACACCTTGTGGAAGATTGCTGAAGTGAAAGAGCCTTAGGCTTTAAGAGCATCTCTGGTGGCTCAGCATCTGGTGGCTCCTTCAATGGAGAAGTTGTGGGTTTGATCCCTGGGTTGGCAAGATTCTCTGGAGAAATAAATGGCAACCCATTCCAGTATTCTTGCCTGGGAAATCCCATGGACAGAGGATCCTGGAAGGCTACAGTCCAGGTTGTAAAAGATTTGGACACGGCGTAGCCACTGAACAACTGCAGAATGGAAGTAAAGCTCATACAAAAGAAGAGTAGTGGAGTAGGGAGGGGTCTCGGTTGGTTGAGACCCCTGCATAATGCTGAAACACTTCAATCTAAAGGATAAAATAGTCTGCTCATTGGCAAAGGGAAGAACCAAGTTAGTCTTGTCTGGCTTGGTCTTGGGTACTGGATGGGAGGAAAAAGTATCCTCTGATAATTCATAACCACAGGTCTGCCCACATGGAGGTTTAAGGTTTGATTTATTTTACCT